GCCCCCCCCCCGGCCCCCCCGTTAACGCCCCCCCCCCTCAGCCTCTGCCTTGCGAAGGGACGAATGACAAAACCGCTGCTGCAGCTTTCCACACTCACCACACTGAGTCCTTCCCGACTTCAGAGCATAGCGTATCTACAGCAGACCACCGACACACAGGCACTGAAAGACGACAATGAATTCTTGGGGCTCGCTTTCGAGCACCCCCTTGATGGTGATAGAGGAAAGTGTTGAAGGCCGCCAAGCACTTCTTGCTGTTGTAGACGTCTGGAAAACCCGGGGGCAGTCGTTTTTCATCCACGCTTTTCGCGGTAGTAACCGGTCGGGAACACCGATTGCGGGTTTGCGGTAAATTACCGGTCGGTAAAGGGGTCTGGCCCGGGTAATGCACATCCCTGGTTGAATATGTGTCACGCCATTTCACCATGCCAACCGACACAGCATGCCGGGACCACGAGATACCTACCTGCAGCTTGGCAGTGAGGTCCTTCTCCGTCTTTTTGCGGATCTCTTCTGGGCTTACGATCACCGGGGGGATTCTCGGACGAGGAGGATCCGGGATTGGCGGTCTCTGTTGGGCCGATCCTGCAAAGAGCTGAGAGCAACACACGAGCATAGCGTTCGTTCAAACGGCGGAGGAACAGGGAAGGAGTGAGGAGAGGAGATGAGAGGAGAGTGGAAAATAATCAGGCCGGGCTAAGCAGAAGAGCGCATCTCACGAACGAGAACACCATCTGTACAGGTAGCTACATGCATGTCGCTGCACGAGGCCTCTCGGCACGGTATCATCCTTCCCCTATGACACATGTACTTGTACACAACACGCGAGAATCTCTTTGCCCGCGCCGTTACATTCCGCGTCCAAGTGCGCAACCACCACCCGCTCCATGTCTTGATGTAATAAGGCGAGGTCGGTGTGATGCCGGGTGCGGAGCATTGAATACCACTGCAACCAAATCGTCGAGATCGAAACACAAAGCGGGTACTGTTACTCCCGTCGATAATCAGGCCTCACGAAGGTTTGCCAGGGATGACGTTGCTCCTGGAAGGAAAGGCAAGACAATCCAGTGCAATCTATCTTCTGCCGAAGCCTAGCTAAATCAACGGCCCTTGATGTTTTCTGCTCTTTATTTACGGCGTGTCGTTTCGCGACGACGGTGTACGCGTAAATGTAGATGGACAACGAGCGCCGGTATTTTTTCTTGCAATCGCTGGCGTTACTCTTTTAATATCCAACCATAAAGCACCATGACTTCAGATTTTGCAATAATCATGTAGCAGGTTCGACCAATCACTCTTCCAACACGTAAAACATATCATTTATACAAACATCGATACCTTCCAACATACGTTGACAGGCAGCTGGTAAGTGCATCCTCCGAGTTCCCAACATATATGTGAGTAATCACGTTCGTACCAACGATACTGACAGACTGGCAGAACATGGGCCGACGAAAGACCACGCAGTAAACACAATAATAGCAAGCCGGTGGGGCTTAAAGCTAGGAATACGGTCATACCCCCATGGCAACAGCCTCAGCTGCCAAGCCGTACACAGGAGAAACAACAAGAGCGCCACCGCGAACAGCGACAAAAATAACCAACCCAACCCAAACGCGAGACAGGGCAAGCCCCGCCATTGCAACAACGTACTCCATAATACACATACCGGAGGTTCCGCCCCAAAGACGCCCGACATGTTGGCTATGAGCTCCACGAGGTTGTGGGTCCTGGCAGCCCACTCGTGCAGGTACGGCAGGTACACGAGGCCGCTTTGGTCCACGTGCCGGTGCCCCACCTTCAGCTTCATCCCTGAAGGGCACCAGGGGTTACGCAGAATCGCGCGCGGGTTTGGTAGTCCAATGACGTGAGCATTTGTAGTGATGAGGGGATCGTTTGAGGCGCACGTGAAAGGAAACGACGAACGCATCAGGGGGACTGGCCAAGGCCATTGTCACACTGCCCTCTTCTGTCGGAACCACAATCAAGCCTTGATTTGAAATAAAAGAGGACACATGCCCGCAAAAGATTGAAAATGTAGCGACCGGCGGCACAATTGTTGATACCAAAACAAGCGAGAGAGGCCTAGGGCAAAGTGGGGATAGATAGGAAAGTCAGTTGAAAGGATGGAATGGCACATAGCCCAAAAAGAGGAGAGGGCCGTAGAATAACATAGTACTACCTGTTGAGATCATCGCTCAAACGAGTACCGTGGAGGCTGGCTGCATCATCACTACCGATGACCATGAACGACATGTATGACAAGTAGCTTAATTTGTCGAGTTTGGCCACCAAGTGCGTTCTCATGTCAGTGGACGATATATTAAGAGTAGCATGTAAGAGATTACGTCCAGGGCCAAAGGTCAGCAACGCCTTTGAATTGAAACATGCAGAAGACAACACCAGCAACAACGACAACAACAACGTCAACAACGTCAACAACGACAACTACGTCAACAACGACAACTGCGTCAACTACGACAACAACATCAACAACAACGACAACAACATTAACAACAACGACACAACCAACGTCCTCGACACAACCATTCGATAACAGCCGCAAGCGCAACCCGGCAGCTGTACAAGAGAACAGAATTTCTCCATGGCAAGGTACGGTAGTCAGGTCTCACCGGCAGTTGGTCTGATGTAACACATGGGGGGCGACGTGGGGTAGTTCTCCGAGATGTAGATCTACAGCAAAAAAGGAGAACGAAAGGAGACACGGGAAATTCAAGCTGGAAACTCAGAAAAAAACGTGAGAAGAGGTGTTAGTTTGCGGAGCGGTTCCACATAGAGAATATACTTCCTCTGTATCATAAGTTAGGGTACCTAAATGTAATAGATTGTCTGGGTGCAACCGTGTTAGTGATGGTAGCATAGTCGGGTTTGTACGATATAACAAAGACGAAGCGATAGAAAAAAAGAAAAAAAAACGAACATCTATTTCTGTACCTAATATTGGTCAAAATATACCCTATTTTGGCCTGTTTTGGGAATATTTTTGGGAAAATATTTTGAGATTTTTTTTGAGAATTCTCGACAAAATTCTCAAAACCATCTAATATTAGTACCCTACCGGCCCACTACTCACTCTAGCGATGGAATCGCCCCCCAGCACACCACCTCGCAAAAGGGGCACCGAATTATCGGTTGGTAGGCGCTATGCCATGGCGGTAGGAATTGTCGACTTTTTCTATTTTTTCCCCGCCACCAACCAACCCTTCTTTTTGTCCCGCAAGTGTCTTGATTTTAGTGTGCCCCCAAGTGTCTTGGTTTTAGTGTGGTTCACTACTATACTGCTTTTAGTATAGGGGGCGCGACATGGATCGTTGAGTAGAGGGGGGGGGTGGATGAGGGCCCTACAGTTGCTTGCTTTGCCGTGTCTTGTTTTTAGTGTGGTCACCCCAAGTGTCTTGTTTTCAGTGTGGGGCCACTATTATGCTGTTTTTAGTACGGGGGACGCATCATGGATCGTTGAGTAGAGGGGGGGCTAGGTCTAGGGTCAGGGATAATTCTTGGTATTTTTACCTTGTTTTTGTCATTGCCCCGCCCCCCCCGCCTGGTCGGAGGGGGCAGGATACATGCAAAATACGGCCTTTTTCAGGCCGACTGGTTTTTTCTCGGCCGCTCATGCACGCGGGGTGGCGCATGCATAAAAATAAAAATAAATGTTTCTTGCTAAAAAAACTCCGAAGATTTCAACAAAAAAATCGGAAAACAGATCGGTCACGGTTAAGGGCCCGTACAAATTCAGGTACCCTAACTTATGATACAGAGGAAGTAGAAGAACAAGCAGGAAAAAAAACGAGGAACGGAGATGTTACCGGGGATATCTACCGCACAAAGAGGAATACCACAAATACAACACATGACATGGGAAATCGAATAATACCATTCCATACCATTCCAACCATCGAATATCACGAACGGCACGCTAAAATGCGGACGGTCGCTTTCCGTGGTCACACGCTAAATTAGTGCTGGATTACTGTACCCAGACATACAAAAAAAAAACTGCGCCTCCGTGCCAACCTCACAGGTAGCAAGCAACGCCTTTCCATAGCAAGCATGAAACGCTTTCAACACCTCCAACAGCAGAAAACACGAGGGTTCGATGGATGTGTTGGCCGACCCCCAACGCCCCCAGCCCTACAGGACGCTTGCACCCCTCCAAATGCCACCACTGCAATACTTCACACCACCGTTCTCTCTTCGATTATTGACATGTTTTGACTGTCTTCAGAGTACTTGTTCGAGTGACTGCTTGACTGTTCGACTCACCTCCACGGGAGTATAGTAAGTCACCGCACGGTAGACGATAGGGAACGTTCCCTCCAGCATCAGCAGCTCGCACTCCTGACCCGTGTTCAAGGCTGCGTTCGTCCGTGTTGTTCACAGACAGTGATTGCGATCAGCAAGCAAGCGGAGACAGCACACATGCACAGGACACTTACGACAGTTCGTGTGTAGCAGCATTGTCAGCTACAAAACGAACAGACAGCGGTTGCATCGGCAAGCAATGGAGTCAGCACGCATGCACAGGACACTTACTACTACAGTTCGTGTGTAGCAGCATTTACGGCTACATACCCCATAGAGTATTCGCACGCACACACGAAGGAACGCAAGGGTGTGCGGCATCACCACAAGCAAGAGGTTGGAGGTACGACAGGTACAACACAAACTTAGCTCTACCGGCGCGACACATCTCTCTCGTTATCGGTACCCATACTTGAACTTCGAACGGCTTGGCGTCCATGACTCCCATTAACGGACCCCGACAAACTGGTCACGTGGGCTTGTGTCCGCCTCATGACGCCCCGGTATTGAGTGCGGCATATTGGCAGGCTTGCTTTTAGGGTGCTCAACTGAGCACTAAGAACTATTACTATTTCTTACGGACAAGTTCTTAAGCTTCGATCTTGTTGAACCTGAAGTTCTGAACTCTTACGTTTCGCAGTGGTGTTATGTTTTGTTCTGTCACCCTAAACTGCACGGTAGATAGCACGCGTTTTCCCCGTCCGTGAAGGAACTCAACTCAACATGAGGGCTGGGCAGATATCAACAGCGGTACCCGACTGGCGGAGGGTGGTCATTACGCACAAGGAAAACTAAAAGCAGATGTGAGAAAAATATTTATCGTTGCTTGAAAACGTACCGATGATCCGGATTCAAACTCCAACGGTTTCATATACCATATTTCCAAACACGGCAGGTGGTTGGTATTGTATATACTTCATGCACATACATCCGCAAACACGAGAATAAGACATAGGGCAACATATTTTTCCTTCTTCCGATCAACGACCAGAAAAACCACCGGCACTATACCGGACCGGTACTATTCAAAGTATTGAGCATGCTTGGAAATTCAGTGTGCCCCCCGAAACACCGACACCACACATCCACCTCTATTGTGATACGATTGGTCCGATATCATGTCGGGCATGACTTGCTTCGGCATTGGTCGCTAGACCCGACTTGACTTGGTGAGCAGGATACGTATGCATAGGGTGCACTTCTACATACCGTGGTAGGTTTCACACGTAAGATGACACACCCTGGACTGTTTTTCAAGCTCTAGTATTCTGCAGCAAAGGCAGCGAACAGTGCCGAAAGTTGGACCCGTCTCGTCGAGAGCTTTCCGAAAACGCATCATTTGGTTTCGGCACCTTGTACGTTGTGGAGTAATCGAGCTTCAGAATCGTTCCAGGGGGTGTGTCGTATCTTACATTATGCAACCTACGGCACCCCTCCCGCCTGCCCGCCATTTCGTATCGCACTCACTCAATCTCCCGCGCTTTGGTACCAGGCTCTGGTGATGTCTCCAAACGTTCAGCACGTCTGTTCGAATGCGATTCGGATCCTGCTCCAAAAACGAACACACATACATACAACAACGACGAGAGAAAAGGGGGGGACATTAGACAGCGGTATCAGAGATGGAGGCATCTGGCAAAAACGGATATCGGGGTAAGGGATGCAGGAATCCGAAAGGAGCAAGTTGCCGATGTCACAAACGGGCGAGGTGTGCTGGAGATATCTTGCTGAAGAACATAAACGGCAGAAGGTCTGTCTGTTAAGAATACCACACGGGATGATATGCCCCGAGCAGGTCCACTCGACAACGCCTTGAGTTGCGACGCATTGTCTACGTCCATGCAAACTCCTCGGTGTGCGTGTGAGCTATGGACTCCTACGCAATACAGCAGTACGTGTTCTGACTGTTTCGAGCGCCCCTCCTGCGTTAAAAAAAAAAAGTATCAGGCCCTGGGTCCAAGCCATACACCCAGCGAATTCTTAGAAGCGCTCCATTCGTGAGAAGATGAAATTGCGTACTCAGTACGTACGAATGCCGTTGACTGAGGAGGAAGAGGGTGGATTCGTGCTCCCCCCCCCCTCCCTTCCCTCCCTATACAGGGTAGCGTTCAAGGACAAACCTAAAGGTCATTTTTTGGGGCTGAGGACATTGACCTTCGACAACGTAGACGGATAATTAGGAGGGTATTCCAAGACGACGACAAAATCAAGTCTCAATGCGGCGCCGAGTGCGAAGACCGTGTCCTTGGTTCCAGATCGTCCGTTTTACAAAAATGAGAGAGAATGATACATGACTGAGCTGGGGATAATAGAAGCAAGGTACTGTGTACATACCGAGAAATGTTTGAGGCACGGAATGGAGGTTAGGTATACTGGGGCACAGGAAGTGGGTTGAAAGGGCGGGAGGTGATCTTTGTATCGATAGGATAGATCGGCTATAAGGAACACATTTTCGAGCCACCTTTGGCATCATAGGAAGGAACCATTAGCCATCGGCAATCGGTCCTGCAGGACAACGCTCCGTCCTCGAGGAAGGGTGGTCAACCGTCTAACAGCTGAGGCAGGCAAAGCATCAGTACGCGCCCCTCCCCTCCCGCCACCATCCTCGAGTCCTCGAGAAGGGGTGAGTCTGAACTTGACTCTCACGCATGCTGTATCTACCTGGTGCAGAGCATACATGCTGTAGCTGGACTACATTCTTTTACGCATGAGAGAGACACTGCAGCAGGCCCAGAGTTAAAAACGAACACAAGACGGCGGGCGACGCCGGGGTGTGTTGAGCGCTCGTACACGCAAGAACGAAGTTTCCACACTTCGCCGATGCCTGCGTGATCGTCTTGTCTTGCCATTTGCTGTTGTGTTTCGTATTTGTGGTCGCAATTAAAAAATAAAACCGTTGCGGCCATTCCGCAGTACCCAACGTCGGAGGCATTAGGAGTAATAACTATTATCCAAAGTAGGGCAAATCAACACAAAAACGATCGGTCACAGACGACAGCCCTCAACACAGTCAGACCTTCGCCGGTGACATGGAGGAGAGCGAAGATCGTCAACGCTGTATACCCTACGTCAAGTAGAGCATACAGAGGTGTGCGTGGCTTCAAAAATGAACGTTCTTTTCAGTATCCATTAATAAACTAAGATTGCTGTCAACCGAACCCAACCAAGCCCACCTGGTACCGAGGGAACTGGGCAATCAGCTGATTTAGGTTGATGGCATCTCGCGGCGGTGGCATGGCTTCACGACGCAAACCAACACCACCGCAGCACTCCGCCGAGCCTTGGTGTCACCGGTCTGCAGACAGACGTGGGCAAGAGGTAGTAGGTAGGTGCAGCAGTTTGCCCGGAGAAGCGGAGGGCAAAACTTTGACTTCCACACAACGTCCTCCGCGCACCACGCCTTATTCGAGGAAACGCCAGCAGTTGCTGTGGGCTCCGCGTCCAAAAGCTCTGGCACAGCAGCTCCCGAAACAATCTCCGGTTGAAGCCAGGTTCCTCTGAGATTGCGAACGAGAGATTGATTGATGCCTCGTTGCCCAAGAGGAACGAACAGCGGACAGACCTCTCCAAGCCCACTTAGCCCGATCACGCTGACTGAATCACCCCTTCCTGCTGCGTGTTGCTTGTTCAACACGCCTTTCACCAATCACCGAGCTCACGCGCGCTTTGGAAACACACACGGGTATCGCGAGAGATGTCACGTGGAGCAGGAGAGTTCGAGAGTTCTTGAGTGCTTTCGTCAAAGGGGCACCGCAGTTGAGAAAATACGAAATTCAGGGTATCAGTGGGGGTCACACTCTCAGGCACAATGGGATGTACAAAAAAAAGGTACCCATTGGTCACCACAGGCAAGGCCGGAGCTTACCCCCAATACAGATGGCGCCCGCACCTAAGAATCGCCAGTTTCGGCCTAGGCTGGGGTTCTGATATTGCCGATCATCCTCTTGTGGGCTACAAATCGCCACTATATATATATATAGGTTTTAGTCTGAGGGCTCTCAACTGGGCTCACAAATGGTGCTCAAGTTCTTGCTTCTGATTTTTTCCGAGTCTCAATTTCTTAACTGCCAAGTTATCAAGTGCGGGCGCTATCTGTAGGCGCCATCCGCAACTGATGCGCATACGCCCGGCGCAGCTGAAAAAAAGAGATTTTTCAAAACCGTTTTTTATCGCTTTCAGAACCACCCAAAGAACGCCTAAAAATCAGTACATATACAGATCGGTCGGGAACCCCTTCAAAAATATTTTTCGCCGCATTCCCGACCGATGTGAATTTTGTTAGATTTTGTACACCCGAGGGCAATCGATTCCGCTTGGCCGATTTAGGGGGTGTAGAGCCACTCAGAAAGTTGATCAGACAAAAACTGAGGTGCGCGCGGGCTCAAACATGAGTGCAGCCGAAGCTGGGCCAGCGGCAGCTGTGTCACAGCCAGGCAAGTGTGAGCGCATGCTTTGGCTGGAGACCAGAAACACGTCATACAGCACGAGTGGAGACCCGACAACAGCCGCGGAGACTGCTACTGACCACAAACAACTCTCATCGACAAGAACAGCCCCAACAGGTCTTCGAACAAGCAAAAGGTCCTTGTTTACAACACCGAAGAACGTGTAGCCTCAAAAGCCTTGGAGATGGCTCATAGGGTTCTCAAGAACAAGCGCGAAAGGTGGGAGAAGGCTCACGGGCGTTCCGGTGGCAACAGCAGCAGCGGCGGTGGCGCTAGGAGGAATGCCGACAGAGAGGTAGCCAACCCTGTCATGGCGGCTTTGCGAGGATGTGGCAGGACCCGATCCGGGGTGACGATAAGCGAGCCAGCTGAGGCGGTGAGATCCTCTACAAACTCATCAATCAACACTTGCAGTACTTTCGCCGAGAACCGTTTAATAAATAGAAACCTGATGAAGAGACACGCAATAATTGCGCCGAGGGCGGGTTATTTCCACCGAGGGGATCGGATTGCATGAATAGCCGCGAGGGGGGTTTTCATTCCAATGAAAGGATCGGATTGCATGAAAAGTACACCGAGACTCGTCCGTGTTGATTCCCGCGCAAAGCAAGTGCCCAATTTTGTGTGTGCAATGGTCGCTCTGTATCAGTCGTGTCTTGCTGTTTGTTGTGTCTAAATGCATTGAACAACCTCCCCCCGCTCCTCCTCGTTCGTCACGTGTGCACACAGACGGCGCCGGTCGACTGGCGCCAGCAGTCAACGGAAACGTTTCTCGCGTCCATGGACAGCATGGGGTATAACAACGCGCGGCATCACGTGGAAAGCACCGGCTCAAAGTTTGCGAAGGAGACGCGTGTTCGCTTGCGAGAGTTGGAAGCCACGGTCAGCACAGCGGTCTCGTTAGAGCGAGCCGTCGAGCAAGCGCAAAAGAAACGTAGCACCAAGGAGGGTAGCCGCACGTTCCAAACGATCCTCACGGCTGTGGCGTTTCCCGTGGACGACGTAGACGGGGCTCCATCGGTGTCGGCAAGACGTGGGGCAGCGGCGCTGGGGGTTCGCGAGCAAGTCTTGAACTTTGCGGCGGAGCGTGCCAAGAATTTGCTGTCAGATCTCCAACCAACCGAGGCGATAAAGCGCGGTGTCTACTGGTTTTTGTTCCCGAGCTAAGCAAAGCAATGCCGCCAGCGAAGAGCTGCTGGCGTTCATGAGACAGTACTGGCACACGAACGAGGTGTCACGCCAGCATGGCAACTCAGCTGAGCGCGACATGTGGAAGGAGAGCAAGTTCTCCGACAGCTCACCCCCACCCTCGGCGGCAGCTTACGGAGCCAGGTGGGGGCGATGGGGTGTACGCCAAGTTCCTCAACTGGGCGTCCTACAAGAGCTTCAAGGAGCGACAGAGCGACAACTTCACGGACCCTGGCCGTACGCTCTTCCTCTCGACCCAAGTGCCTGGTCCTCCCTGCAATGGAGCAGTTCGCGTGCAAGATTNACGCCAGCATGGCAACTCAGCTGAGCGCGACATGTGGAAGGAGAGCAAGTTCTCCGACAGCTCACCCCCACCCTCGGCGGCAGCTTACGGAGCCAGGTGGGGGCGATGGGGTGTACGCCAAGTTCCTCAACTGGGCGTCCTACAAGAGCTTCAAGGAGCGACAGAGCGACAACTTCACGGACCCTGGCCGTACGCTCTTCCTCTCGACCCAAGTGCCTGGTCCTCCCTGCAATGGAGCAGTTCGCGTGCAAGATCCACTCGCAGCAGGTGCTATACATCGAGGCGCTAGCCAATGTCGACATGACCAGCCACAGGGAATGCGGTTGTCGATGGTGCAACGTAGATGGCGGCCGCAGGTGGTGGGAAACGTGGAAGCATGTGGGCACTTTCTCCGATGCGATTGCCCGCCCCAAGGTCAACTTGCGGGCAGCGGGCCCGGAGGGTAACAGTTGGATGGGGCGGAAACCGGAGTGCAACGCTTTGGGCTGCGCTATGTGTGGGTTAGGGGGGACTGACGGCATTCCCATCTGCAGCAAGCTGGAGACCTCCGAACAGACGGTGGTGTGGAAGATGTTCGAGGACGTGATCATTGTGCCTGCATCAGCGGATGGGAAGATCAAAGCCAAGAAGCTCGCCAACCAGACCGTGCAGAAGGAGGGCGAGCTTTGCACACCAAGCTGTACATGGCTCATCACTCTATCGCCAAGTGGCAAAGGCACTGCCACGGGCGTTGCTTGGAGACGTTTCAGGACGGTGACCTTGTCATCGAGACCGACTTTGCCGAGAAGTATACCCACCAATCCTTTATGAGCATGGTGATGCCTGTTTACCCGCAGGCAACGCTCATGGTGGCCATCGTCCACTTCAACCCGCAGACACACGTGGGGGGTGGCAGGGTGCACGTGACGGAAACATGGATCTTTGCATCTGAGGACATGGCACATGACTGCGATTTCCACCTGCACGGCTTGGCCAGGATGGCGGACCACTACCTGCGTGGAGATGGGAGCGAAGCAACAGCTGCCGCCCGGGAAAAAGGCAGGACGCCTCGGATTCACATGTTGACGGATGGGTGCGGGAAGCAGTACAAGGGAAGGCGGAATTCCCGCTTTTTGGCCGACAGCGTCCGGCAAATTGGCTTCTTCATCAACCACCACTTTGCGGCCACATCTCACTTCAAAGGTTGTCATGATGGGATCGGCGGAGTCGCAAAGAACGCCATGAAGAGGAGGGAGAGGTTTGGAAGCGAATCATGGGGGCGGACGGGGTAGTCAGCTTTTTGCGAAGCTCGTTTCGGGAGAAGGCAGGCAGCGAGGGGGAGGAGAGTACGCGGAAGTACTTCGCGAAGTGGTCTCCGTACCGCATGCGGAGGGTGCACGTCGAGTTTATCGGTAAGAAGGAGATCTATCGGCCAAACTCGATCCTGGAAGGCGTAGAGGGTACACGAGAGATGTACCACTGTGCGGGAGCAAACACTCCCAAGCGGGATGGGTCCACCTCAACCAAGGGACGCGAAGATGACTGTATGCTCGTGCTGAAGAGCGAGGGGCAGGGTCCGTTGTCGAGTCTAGAGAAGAGCCGGTTGCGGAAGGTCAAGGTGTTGGGTGCATTAGCGAGCAGATGGAAGGCTCAGGGGGCTGGGTTGCAGGATCCGATATCGAGGGAGGAAGACGTGACTTGCAGGAAGGTGAAACGGACCTACAGTCTCAGGACTCGTTTGGCGTCGTGCTTCTGCTCGGCGTGCCTGCGTTCTGAGTATGAGCAGTGCTACGTTAGCAAGACGTACCCCCGCCTCGTTCCCGCAATGAAGGATGACGTAGTGAAGGAACCGGTGATTATGGACACTGGAGTAGCGCCCGTAGACGAAAATGCCTCCGAGGGGATCAACTTCCCGCGATACAAGAAGGAATGCAAGAAGAAGCGAATAACTGGGACACAGTGGCAGGAAGGCGACTCTGCTACTGCATCAAAGATTTGGGAAGAGCTTGGAAGGAAGAAAGCCCAGTATTTTTGCCCGTTTCGGAAGGTGGGCTGGCATTTGAGTGACATCCTTCTTGTATTTGCTCGTGGAGCAGTGCTGGGCTTAAGAGCCCGTTTGAGGTCGAACTTGGGGGTGTGTATGGGGGGCGGTTTCCGAGAGGATGTGTAAAATATCTTGAAATATATATTTTTTCTTGGCAAGGCGATGCTGTTCAATGTGTCCCTGTATCTCAAAGGCAAAATCGAATTGAAAAAAAACGACCGCGGATTCAAAATCCCCACCCAAAAATTACGCTAACCTGAAATTCTCAGATCAATCTGACCACTTTTCAAAACCGGGGATGTTTCAGCCCCATCCCCTGGTTTTTGGCGTTTTGCGAATTTCCTGAGGGAAATGGGGGAAATGAGTTGAAACCCGGTCAAAAATAGTTAAAGAAAAAAAAACGAATATACCATTTACGTGCCCGGGGTAGTGTGTCATAAAATTTTCAGACCTTAGGCGGGGATGGTTCATCATCATCACCCCCCCCGCAAAAAAACTATCCTCATCAGTTGCGGATGGCTCCTGTAGCATGTCCCGTCATGGGATGTAGCTGTACGGTCCCGCATTTCAAATGAATTCGCTTGGATGTGTCAGGTCTACGCATACTATATAGGCAGACCGCACGCACATGGCTTCCCACGTGAGGCGCAAACAAAAAAGACGCCAGGTATGTGCCACCACGGCCTCAATAGAGTTGAATAATTCTTGCGTCGCTCGCATGTCCCTGTCAGAAAGAGACCTTCAATGCGAAGACGAAAATAATGTTTTCACCAATAATGGGGAGTTGATGCTACTGCTGTAGCTATGCTGCTCGGGAAACCAACTATGGAAATACAGAAGCTTTCCGCTGACGCTATTATAATTGGTTCATCGCTAATCTATCTAGTCTTTTTTCTATTGATGGAGATGGATTCATTGTCTGTCTCATGAGTAAGAAACAAGAGAATCAATGGGACCGAGCGTGGCTGACGCGAGCGTGCGGCTTTTTTGATGGAGGAAATTTCATGAGCCGGGGCAAAGTTACATTCACGGGTTGATGCGGTAAGTGCCCCCTTCTTTTGTTGTTCCAACGTTGTTGCGAAGCGTGCCAGGTACGTACGTGTGACCTTGAGATTGACGCAGAGGACCGGCTACAAAGCAGTACTGCTACAGATAAAGCTGCCCCCCCCGGGGAACGTGCACCTCAATAACAGACAGGGCTCTTTCATCGACGTCATTCCAACCTTAACGTTGCCGGGGCACAGCTTGTAACAGCTGCCGCACGCTCAATCTCCGCGGGGGTACTGCCTGTAGAGATTTCAAACACCGTGGTGCCTTTCTTCCTTAAAACCATACTACTGCCAGCTACCCCTACCCCCAACTGTACTTCCAAGTTTGATTATACCCAACAAGAGGACGTCCACATAAGCCGTTTCGGCGACAACGTAGGCCTACGCCCACTCGTTGTGGAAAATTGATTTCATGTGATCTCTTAAACCCGTACCGTAGGCACCACCTCCCTACGAGAACATGGAACAGACTTCGCCATCCGTTCCACGGTAACCTCCCAACCGCGAACGTATGTCAGCACTACTAGTACTGCTGTAGCTCGGAAGCAGCCGCATTTACCTAGACAACTGACAGGCGATACGTATAGGGTGGGAATAACACAAAGCTCACCCTGCTAGAACAGCATAGACAAACAAATAAAAAGAGAGGCATCCGTTCCTCCTTCCCTGGAGCCCAGTCGGGCAACACAACCCCCTCCATGGGCAGCGGCGGACGCTCACCACCTCTGGCGTTAAAAAATCCATCAGAGTCATCCATCCCGCACCAGCAGGGGCTACATGCATGCATCATCCAACCGAAACACAACAGGGGGGTTCATCCGCCTCGATTTGGAAAGGTGCCGTAGTACGTCGTAGATCAACAGCAGCAAAATAGACCCAGCAAGTTGTTACCAGACACTACGACGTGTTCCTGTGAAGGCAGAGTCTTACTTCTACAACACACGACGTAACCGAGGGCTTCTCCTCGAGAAGAAGACTACAGGGGAGTCATCTGTCTTGCTTGTACACATGCAGTGTTTGTGTGATTAGCACCTGCTGGCATCACCGACAAAAAAACCAATGTGATAAAACCCCAAACAAGCCCAGTATGCAGCCGGTTTCCTTCTCACTCACCGTATAGACTTCGACCCATGCCCTTCGACTGGGGTATTATTCCTCGAACAGGTAAGTATCTCTTTGATTGAAATACACTTTTCTAAGACAGTCACCGATTGCGGGCGTGGTACAAACTGCACCTAAACGGTACACGCCGTTTCTTGTTTGAACTAAATTACTTGCCCATGCCGATCAGGGCAAGGAACGAGTCCAACAGCCCGCCGACGCCGCTTTCAGCGGCTGACTGGCTCGGGGTGCCGAGCGAAATGAGCTTGGCGAAGGCCGCGCCGAAGTCTTTGAAGAACAACTCCTCGTCAGCGGTGTACTCCTCCACCACCTTCCGGAAGTCTGTGAGAGGGCGGTACAGAGCGGAGCGAACGGAGGAAGCCTTGGTTGTTGTCTCTCTATCATGGGCGGCTCCGCCTTCGAAAACGCTAAATTCCGGGTATTAATTCGAAAGCAACTCCACGGTAGTGAACTACGACGTGTCCCGCCTACACCAGATGTACATGCATTGGTCAGGGCATTGAGGTGCGCACACAACGACGCATGACATGAGCAAAACAACCAGGACCTAGATCGATCCGTTTGTCAAGGCAGTGAGGTGTACATAGCGACGCATGACGGACGCGAAAAAAGAAAACATGACTACATTGTACATGGATGGATCGATCGTACCTTTGTCCCAGACGAGAGCCATGTCGGAGTGGAGCATCATAAGCTGCCCGCTGGGATCTTCGAACTGCTCCGGCCCAGTCCACCTGAACGATGCCATACGATAGCACAAAGCATCAAACCAAGCATCAATACATCGTGGTGAATATTCTACCAACATGGAACATCGTCGCTGATAAGGCTGAGAAGAATGAGAACATCCTTATCTTGGCTAGGGTTAGAGTTGTTGGGTGACATGAACAAATACAAAAAAAACACATCCTGTGGGCTACACACTATCACAGACGATCCTGCTCGGCGGCGCGGCGAAGAAGAGCATCGCTGGGGTGTTCCTGCTCCGCACATGAGAGTCAAAATAACCCTGTGTCTACGGAAACGGTTTCAGCTGCAGCATTCACAGGCCCAACCACTAGTAATGTAGTAGTAGTACTATAGTAGTAGTATGTAGTAGTAGTGGTAGAAGTAGTACAGTCGACCGTGCTTTAACGACGCACATAATAGTTTTCCCGAAAACAATCTTCCTTAAAGCGGGATCGCGTCCTTAACATTCAGGGGACGATAGCTCACCATGCCCGGGGCCAATGGAGGCATGCAATACCTCAAACTACGCGTCTTTTGCTAAGGCAGGGTGTGGTACGAAAAGTCAGCATCGCCGAGACGACTGGCAACCGTTTGTTGACGTCGAACATATTTACAAAACTTAAAATGAGATGTACAGCAGTCGGGGACGTTGAAAAACTACGGTACACCAGTTTGTACTTGGCCAAGTAATGTACTGCATAGCCGGCAGCGGAAGACGGAAAGTCCAAGTAGATGTATATATTTATCTCATTCTTGTTAAACGAAAAAAACGAGCGTATTTCAGCGTCGCACCGAGTAACACCAGTACGTATCACTTGTCCCGGCGGAGACCAAAAGCTACCCTGATGGCTTTTCCTTCCACATATCGCGAAGAGTTCCCTGCACCTCCCCGCGGCTTGGCTCTACGGCTCTGTTGAGTTTCATGAGCAAACGAATGAACGGTCTTCGAAAGAAGGTACTGCGCCTCACGGTACTCGCCACCCCTTCCCTTCGCCTACAAATACAGATAGCGCCCGCAGTTGAGAAAAATTCTGTTAATAAAAAAGGCTCAAAGTTTGTACGAAAAATAGGGAAAAATGGCTCAAGGAACACAGCTCAATCTCGGCCACAACGCAAGAAACGCCCCCAATAAGGAACATAATGGTGCGACACCCCATGACATCCGAAATCTGCGGTGCTCCCAACCCCCGCCCAAGCTNACCTGTCTCTTATACACATCTAGATGTGTATAAGAGACAGCGCTCCTGCTGTTCACAGTGAGTGCTGTACTGTAGTACTGCCACACATCGCGGACAACCATATGCTCTCCGCTGTTGTACGGGTTTGATGGCACTCTCCACCACCTCTCATGAGGAACGAGAGAATCGGGAGGATGCGACGGTCTAAAGGAAGAAGAAATGCCATGTACGAAAATGGACGACTTGGGCCGGTACTTGGACCCAAAAGAAGGGATTGAGGCTCGAACCGATTTTGACGTTTCTTAACTGTAGGATCCAACGTCCTCCAAGCGAGAGATAACCTCGCCCTCGGTGAGGGATGAGGTTATGCACGACTTTCTTTTGGCGGCATCAGATGGACCGCCGGTAGATGGGAGGAATCTATCCATACCAACACCCTGTTGCAGCTGCAGCAGCAGACCGCTCGCTACTTCTGCACTCACTGTGGTGCGTGGGTCGTGCAAAGAGCGGCCCGCAGGCCCGCAGGACACAAAAAAGGGGGGCATGCGCCAGAAACAACGGGTTATCCCCACTATCATATATTCTGCCGCCCCCCCTGGTGCTCAGCAAAACAAGTTTCCTTTAAGCGGGGAGTTCCCTTGAAGCGAGCCTCGTTAAAGCGGGGTCGACTGTGTATTATAAGCAGTCACTTACCCCCGCTGAGGTATCTTGTGATATTCCCTGTTACTGTTGTGTTATTGTTGTGGATATGTTCACGCTCTCAATGGTGCTGATTTCTAATCAAGTATTTAGGCGTCAACCGCTTCGTCCTCTTCAAGGCAAAGGCACACGGAGACGAACATCTGATGAGGTACAAAATCAGCAGCCCCACATAAAAATACCACCACTCAAGACGAAACCCATCCAGTAGCCGTTGCCCACAGCAACCAACCGCTGGTTACAGTAGGCATACATAAGAGACCCACGTATACATACCACGGTAGCTGAAGCTTCCATCACTGTACTCACTTCTCTCCGTTGTGGGTGGTTTTGATGGTCCACTTTTCTT